CCATTCCCTCTTAGGGGCAATTTTCTCTCTCTTTCTCTCTCTCTCTCTCTCTCTCTCTCTCTCTCTCTCTCTCTCTCTCCCCACACACACATACAGTGTGTAATTCCACTGTTTATCATAGGGTCCTTCTAGATTTCTAGCCTTGTTTTAAAGTTGCATCTAATAGGCACATTTGGGGAGAGGCTTTCAGTCCCTCAGTACTTTCTAAAGACAGAGTCTCCCCAGCCTAATTCACGTGGTAGTCCCAGCTGGGGATGTTTCATTTATGACCACTTCCATTTGCCTCATTGGCAGGGGCTGATGTTTTCTGACCTGGCCACTAGGGCCTAGGATTCCCTGTCTCTGACTTGAGGCTTGCAGTTTTCCCTAAAATGAACTCTGCTTTTCATCAATAAGTCCCAAAGCCCAACCTTCAGCAGGGGAGAAGTGATCATTTCATAACCCAGTTTTCAAAGCCAGGCCTCCAGTTCTTTCATCCCAGCTCACTGGGCGTATTGTGCTCACTTCAATTTTCTAAAATGCCTTACAGCCTTGGAGGAGTGGTGGCTGGCAGTTCAAGCAGGGGTAATTGCCAATCATCCCTGGATGGCTTTGTGAGGATTTCCTGGCAGCAGCTGTGTGTTGTGATCAGCTTTCCTTTAGGCCGTGAGGAGATTCAAGTGCATCCTTGGAGAACACTCCAGTGATTGGAAGGGGTGGTAGATTACCAGGTGTGCCCTCAATGACACTTAAGCACATTCCTTCCTCTCTCCTCCTTCTCAGATTATCATTGAGGATATTGGGAACAAAAGAAAATATGACTTCCCTCTTAACCGCTGGCTGGCCTTGGATGAAGATGATGGCAAAATCCAAAGAGACATCTTAGTGGGAGGAGCTGAGACCACAGGTAGGCTGGAGAGAGAGAAGGTCCAGTTGACTTCACTTTCTATATGAGAGTCTAAAAGTGTCTGTGGGTCTATGGGGGCTGAGGTCAAGCAGAAGCCAGATGGGTTTACAGACAGCATCTTTGTGGCCACAGAAAAATGATCTGGTCCTCTGGGTTACAGAATGAGCTGTAGGCCCTAGGCAGTACTAGCTGTGGGCAGAAGGAGCTATCCACAGGAGGAAGCCAGGAGAATTTGTGACCCTCCTAGTTTCCTTTCATCATTACAGCTACCTACAAAGTAGGCATTGTCTTGTCTCAACTCATAGATGAGGAAACTGGGCACAAAGAAGTTAAGAAACCTGTCTAGGGTCACATAGCTTGTTGAGGACATCTTAGTATCTGGTCTGCCTCTGGCAACCCTCCTCCACTGAGGGTTGAAAACCTAACTCTCAGCCTGCCTGAGGTGATCATTGGGGTTCCAGAAAACCCATGTGTGCTGTGCATGTCTGGGACTGTGCTCTTCTGTCAAAATTTATCACCCCCCCCAAACAGAGATAAAGTTCTAATTCTGTATTTTAACATGAAAATTGCCCCACAATTTGACTCCAGTTTTCCCATCAGGAGACTCTTCAACACTTTTTCTCCCACCATCATGTCCCGGCCCCTCTGTCTGCCTGACCACATCTGTTTCTTTCCAGTCCTCACACTTCTCCTTTCTCCAACATCTTCGTCCACATGCCTGACCTCTCTCCTCTCCCTGACATACTATTTTCTATGTCCTTAAACCCTAGGACAGAATAAATGAATGCAGGTAAGACCTTTGCATTGGTTCAAATGTTGGCTCTCCCATTCAGGAGTTTTATTAGCCCTTGCTGTTTCTTCCCCATAGTTCCAAGTGCTCGCAATGCCTCCTGACTGATCAAAACCCAACATGGCCAACTTACAGTGGCCCAACTCTCTTCCTCAGTCAAGGTGCTGAGGAAGATATTAGTGCCCCCCTCTCAAAAGTTATGTCTTTCAGTTATTAGCAAAAGAGCAATCTAAATGAACCAGGTAGCCCAGATATAAATTCCCATCAATAGAATTGACTGTTATAATTAGATTAGATGTAACAGAATTCATCTGCAGCTATTAATAATGTACACATGATAATTAATGTTAATAATAAGTACTATTCTTAGCCAGCTCAAGTTTCTCCTTTTTATTAGCTTCTTGTTATTAGCACTGACAGTTTGCTGGAATAATAGATACAGTTCATCCTCAAACCCAGATACACTGACACACAGACTTTGAAAAATAAAACAAGGTTGTGAGGGACACGGGATGTAGTCTGAAGGAGTAAGGCAGTGGGGAAATGGGTATACGGAAGAATAGTGCTGTAGCCAAGATGGGAGCAGGAGGTATTCTAACACAACTCACTTTGAACCTCTTCCTTCCTTTTTCCACATCAGCTATCACCTATATTGTCACTGTCTTCACTGGGGATATCCGTGGAGCTGGGACCAAATCTAAAATCTACTTGGTCATGTTTGGGGCCAGAGGGAATAAGAACAGTGGGAAAATCTTCCTGGAGGGTGGCGTGTTTGACCGAGGCCGCACAGACATCTTCAATATCCAGCTGGCTGTCCTCCTCAGCCCCCTGAGCCGGGTCTCCATTGGCCATGGCAATGTGGGTGTCAATCGAGGCTGGTACTGTGAGAAGGTAAGGTACTTCCACATCAGTCTTCCCTGATTCGATCTCTTTTTTTCACCTGTGAGTAAAAACTCCAACCTGAATCCCACTTTCCACTTCTTCTGGGCCAGTTAATAGAGCACATGGGAAATCCCCTGGGTGATACCATGTCCTTCTATCTCTGTCTCGCTCAGTGGGGGCTTATGGGAATGGGGGCTGTTTCCAAACACAGGGCTGGTTACCATAGGTGCTCACTTGCTGGTTACAGATGACTTCAGTCCTGGTGGAGCTTCACATCGGTTTTTAAAACCCTCAGTCAACAAATATTTTTAAATACATGGATGGGGCCCAGGAGATGACTCAGTGGGTAAAGTTGCCTGCCACAAAGCCTGACAACTGGAGCTTGATACCCAGGATCAAAGAAGGCAAGCACCAACTCCTCTGAATTGTCTTCTGACCTCTATATGGGTGCTGTGGCATGCACACCCTTGTGCCTATACACAATGCACTCAAAATAAACAAATAAAAATATAATATTTTAAAAATAAAATATATTCAGTGTGGGAATACTGATGCTTATATATGTACATAATAGAAGTAATATACAGATAATGACTTTAAAAACAAGTTCAATTTTTTTCTACCACTCAGGTTGAGAAATAGCACATTTCCAAGCTTCTGATAGTCCACAATGTCCCTCTTGATCATAAAATCCTCTTCCCAAGCCACATGTAAGAGACATTTTGTACCACACATCCTTGTTAACACTTGACATTGCCTGAATTACAATTTTCTCCATTCTGAAGCTTGTAAAAATTATCTTAATATGGCTTACATTTTTGTCATGATTATTATTGGGGCTGGACAGCTTTTCTTTTTTAATGATGTTTATTTTATTTTATTTTTTGAGACAGAGTCTTAGGTAGTTTGGGCTAGCTTTGAACACACTATGTAACTGAGGATGACCTTGAACTCCTGACCCTCCTGCCGCTACCTCCTAAGTGCTGGGTTTGCAGGTGTGTAGTACCATGCCTTATAACATATTTTCATTTCTTTATTGGCCTTTTTGTGGTTTCTTTCAAGTAAAATACCTGTTCACATCTTTTGCTAATTTTTCTATTCAATGATCTATCCTTGAATTTATTTTTAGGAGTTCATAATTTAATCTGAAAATTAATACCTTGTTGAGTATGTTCTCATAGTTTGTTTACAATGTCCTTTGATGAAGAGATTTAACTTAAAAGTAATCTAGTAGCCAAATATAGTGGCTCACTCCTGGAACTCTAGCACTTTGGAGGCTGAAGCAAGAGGATGGCCTTAAGTTCAAGGCCAGTCTGGGCTACAGAGTGAGTTTCAGTTCAATCTGGGCTACAGAATAAGATCCCATCTCAAAAAAGTAATCTAGATTATTGGTTTTTCCTTTGCATTTAATGCTTTTTGTATTGTTGAAAGAAGACTATCTTGAAGCCATGAAAATCTTTTTCTACATCTCCTAAACAATGGTCAAGTTTTGGTTTTCACAAATTTGTATTTAATGTTCTAGGAATTATTTTGTGAGGTAGGGATCCATTCCCCTCCCCCCAGGAATACATATAAATGTTTCAGAAGTACTTATCAAAGGGTTTTTAAAATTAGAGCAAAGTTAAGGGGTGATAGAGATGGCTCTTCTAGAGGACCTGGGTTGGGGCATCCAAATAGCAGCCCACAACCATCTGTAACTCCAGTTCCAGGAGGTTCCACACCCTCTTTTGGCCTCCATGATATACTTTTAGTATTAATGTGGTGCACTTACATACATGTAACCAAAACACACATAAAATATTTAAAAAAAAAAAAACAAGAGCAAAGTTAAGAATTACCTGAAATTCTTGATAAAAATAGATCCCTGGGTTTCAGCCCAGACCTACTGAGTCAGATTTCCAAAGATTCTGGATATTTAAGAAGTGCTTTAGATTTGGGGCTTGAGGATACAGGGTACCGAATCCAAGGTCTTGTGCATGCTAAGCAAACACTTGGCCACTGATCTCTATCCTCAGCCCTCTTTTCTCCACCTATCTATCTCTCTTTCTCTCTCTCTGTCTTTCTTTCTCTCACACACACCCACAATTTTTTGAGACAGAGTCTCACTAAGCCACCCTGATGGCCTTGAACTCACTCTGTAGATCAGATAGGCCTTGAACTTATGATTGCCCTGCCTCAGTCTCTGAAGTAATTGGGATTACAGGCCAGCACCATCAGCCTTACTTGATAATTATTATCATTAAGGAATTTTGGGAAGCAATGATTTACTTTCTTTGAATTTTATTTAGTCTAGATTTTCCTTGCCTAGAAAAGATATAGTGTTCCAGGAGCATTTCTTTGGACATCTACAACATGAGTGACCAAGAAGGGCAGGCCTCCATGTTCTAAACCCCTAAGCTCAAAGTGTGGGGAGAAAAGGTTAGGAGACAAGACTGAGAGGGTATCAAGCCTGAAAGAAGGCAGTTGGTTTTGTATTATAGTCTAGATATTAGTTGATTAGCTTTATGTGATTCGCCTTTTTCTTATGAGAATTAATTTGATAGTCAGAGTAACAGAGTTTAAGAGGAACACTAAGAAAGGTTGTGTTCAAAGGATGCAGTGTGCAGAGGAAAAGTTTTGGAATTTGAGCTACTTGGAAGATGATGACAACTACTGAGAGAGACTTCTTGAAGAAAGTATTTCTTGATCAAGATTTAATGAAATTTGTAACAGAAGTGCCATTCCTTGAGGGTCCTAACACAGAAGTGTGTTCACTGGGGACTGTGGAGGCTGCTGAGCATTGTGAACAGGTCCCACTGGTGGACCCGACAAGGGAGACACTTGTGGTCTACCTTTCTAGGTGGTAATCCTGTGCCCCTTCACTGGCATCCAGCAGACGTTCCCCTGCAGCAACTGGCTGGATGAGAAGAAAGCAGATGGGCTGATTGAGAGGCAGCTCTATGAGATGGTGTCTCTTAGGAAGAAACGGCTGAAAAGTAAGTACAAGGGCCGAGAAGCTGGGGGCCTCTCAGACAGCAGCTCAGTTCTGCAAGGTAGGGCCATGCATAGTTGTACCTCTGGCCCCAAAGCTGACTCCAGTGTCTCCAAATTGAAGAAGCTGCTGTGATGGGCAAAGGTTAACTGAGTGATCCACTACAATAAGCTCCAAATATACTAGACATCGGATGGGTAGAGTCAACTCTTATCCACATCTGAAGCATAGTAAGTCCTTAGCCATTAAACAAAATATTAAGACATTTGATTTTATGTATATATAAATATATTTAAATTTTATGTGTATGAGTGTATTGCCTCCATGTATGTAAGTGTGCCTATGTTATACAAAGCCTGCAGAGGTCAGAAGAGGGCATCAGATTCTCCTGGAACTGGAGTTACCAATGGTTGTTAGCTGCATGTGGGTGATGGGATTCAAACCCAGGTTTTCTGCAAAAACAGTGGGTGCTCTTAACCACTGAACGATTTCTCCAGCCCCAAGACATCTTATTTTTTTTAAATTTTATTATTTTTATGTGTATGCATGTATTGCCTGCATGTAGGTAAGTGCACCTGTGTTGTGCAATGCCCATGGAGGTCAGAAGAGGCTGTCAGATCCCCTGGAACTGGAGTTACTGACAGTTGTTAGCTGCCATG